TTTTTTTTTTTTTTTTTGAATGATTATACGTACAAGCATGTGATGTGAGGGCAAGGTACCAACTTGATTTGAGAAAAAACAAAAGAGGAGTCGGCTACATTAGGACATCAACTACTAATTACTTAATGAGTGTATTATTCAGTTATATATATAATACATATATCAGGAGATTCTACGCTCCTGTTACGGAACCATTCTATCGGGGTAATTGTAACTGTTAGATCAACTATCCACGACGATCACATGATTATCTAACGGTTATAAATTCTGACGGAATGACTCCGTAACGAGACTGTAACATTTCTCATATATATATATATATATATATTGGCATTTTAATTATGTCTTGTATTACTTATTAATTTTTCCTCCAAATTTTGTGCCTGGTTTTAGCTACTTGTTTATATATGACTTTATATATATATCTAATTAAAATTATAGCATATATCAAAACAGAATTAATTTTTAAATTAATTACTAATTTTATTGCTCAAAATCCTTATTTAATTTGCAGGAGGACTTCAGATTCAAGGGTGGTAGAGTCTCCAACACAAGAAGATGGCTTCGCATGGAGGAAATATGGACAAAAGGAAATTATGAATTCCAACTATCCGAGGTAATTAATTCCGAGTAAAATTAATTTAATTTATTATTATAAATAATTTAGAGTTAATTTAATTTATTATTTATATATATATATATATATATATATATAAACCATACATTGTTGTATATATGCTAGTTCATTTTCTTAAATAAGATTTTTAGAAATTATATTAATGGAGGACTATATATTAATTTTACTTGCTCAATTTCATGGTATATATAATAATAGTCACATTCATACACTTTTGTTGCATCACTTTTGTTAAATTATTACACATACTTTGTATCTACCATGGAATAGTACTATTGATAAAAGGACATTCCTTCTCATCCACATATTCAATCCCAACTAGCTTAGATAAACATACCATAATGAATGCAGGCAAGCACACCATAAAGTTATAAAAATCTCCATTGGATTTAGTCTATATGCCAAAACACTCCTACTAAATGGCTATAAAAGTTTAGACGAGTCGATTTGTTATACATTTCTGAATGTAGATACATAAATATCATTTCGATCTATACATTTTTCAACTAATATTATAATATTTCAGTACGAAAATGTACATATACGTCGAAAAAAAAATAGTATATGATGATTAAATATGCTTAACAATAACTTGAAGGTTTTAACGTACTCACATTTCAATCGATACCCATTTGTGTTTTTCTTTTTCTAGATGCTATTTCAGATGTACCCACAAATACGACGAAGGCTGCAAAGCCTTAAAACAAGTACAAATGATCAAAGACGACCCCATCACGTATCAAACCACATACTTCAACCGCCATACTTGCAAACTGCAACTGAATCAACATCATGTCATGGTCGATTCAATCCCAACGAGTCCTAATCTAATTAGTTTTGGGCCGTACGATATCCAACTAGAAAAAGATCATCATCATTCCCCAATTTCCACGATTATTTCTCAAGTCGACCAAGAAACTAGAAACAATCGTCCCGCCAAAAGTGATGATGATCAAGATTTGAGCTCGGATGAAGCCAAATCGACACTGCAGGATCCATGGCAGGATATCAATGACGGGCTCGAGTCCTTGGGATACAAGCCCGATTGTGACTTCGGTAGCCTGCATGGGCTTGATGAGGAGGTTAATGAGTTTGGTGATATAGATTATTCATGGTATAGTGATTGAATATGTATATACATATATATCAAGCTATTTGGTGTATGTTATAGTAGTTGTGGAATAGAAATGACACTACTATATATGTAACTTCCATAAGTATTTTCCACTTGAGTACTTGATCACTTCATTGTAAATTGATATACATCTTTTCCTATATATGCATATTTTTTTGAATCTACGTTTTATTTTGTTGTGTTTTGTGATCTTATTTGTCGAGCGGCCTTTGTTGATTCGCAGTCTCATGTGTGAATTTATTGTGCTTTAAATCCATATACATGTGGACTTATATCCATGATTGCAAAGATATTTTAAGATTATAAATTGCATAAGTTATGAATATATTTTAAAAGTAAATAACTTTTGTATTTATTTACATATTTTTATATGAGACATCAAATTGCAAGTTATTTGACATAAGTGAACAACTTCATGAAATAAACATAAGTAGTAAATAATATGGGAAATAAACACAAGTGCTCTTTGCTTGAGGCCCCCAATCCCATTATCATATGACCTATTTGGTAACAAAGTGTAACAGTTGGACAATTATATTTTCTTTACTAGATATTACCATACTTATTCAATCGATATGTATATATATTTTTAGACTGAAATGTTATACTTTAATAATAATATAAATGAAAGTGTAATATTTCATAAAATAAGTATACAATTTTGTATATATATATATATATATATATATTAAATATGATGGTTTCACCTCCTAATACAAGAATTTTTTAATATGAGTATATGTATTTAAAACTATTAGTAGGTATTATATGTAGTTTGTAAGAACAATTATCTTAATAGCAAGTTTAATTTGGAGATAAGAACAATTATCTTAAAAGCAAGTTTGAAAGGTCTAAGACAAATATTAAATTGTGATTTCTGATTTGAAAAGGAGATATTTTTTTTTTTAAAAAAAATTGCACTATTCGTCCACTAATTATACTCTTGTTGCATTTTCGTCCTTTAATTGTTTTCGGCTTACTTTTAGTACACTAACATTTTTTTTTGGTAATTTTAGTCCAAATCGACGTTCCGATACTTATTTTTGCCGGAAAAGCTGACGTGGCGCCCAGTCAGATCGTAGTTTTCATTTCCGGCATGATGTGGCACGAGATAGGCCCAAGTATTTGGACACATGGGCACATAAAGGACAAAAGTGCAACGAGGATATAGTTAGTGGACGAATAGTGCAATTTTTTCACAAATATTTTAAAAAAATAAGAAAAAGCTTTAAATTCCACATGTGAAGACATGGGGATAAAAAAATATATTTAATAAAAACGAAATGCAAAACAAAATAATTTTTTAATAAGAATCAAATTTTTTATTTAATGATTAAATATTTAATAAAAAACAAAATAATTATCATTTTTTATTTAATAAAAAATAAATTTTTATTTAATTAAAAAACAAAATATATAATGAGTAATAAATATTTTTATTTAATGGTAAATATTTAATACAAAAAAAATATTTATTTTTTTTTAACGAAAAAATATTTTTTATTTAAATAAAAAACAAAATATTTAATAATTAAATAACAACGAAATATTTAATAAAAAAGAAATATAAAACGAAATAAATATTTCATGAGTAATAAAATTTAATAAATACTTTTTGTTTAATGGTTAAATATTTAATAAAACATGAAATATTTAATAAAAAAGAAATATTTTTCATTTTTTATTAAATATTTCGTTTCTTATTAAGTACTTAATCATTAAATAAAAAATATTTATCACTCATTATAAATTTATTCCTTTTTTATTAAATATTTCATTTTTATTTAATCATTAAATATTTTATTTTTTATTAAACTAAAACATAATTTTTGTTATATAAAAAAAAATTATATTTTTTTATGTTTTTTTTTAAATTTTATCCCCATGTTGCACATGTGGAATTTAAAGCTTTTTTTTAATATTAATTTTTAGAAAAATTGCACTATTCGTTCAATAATTATACCCTTGTTGCACTTTCGTCCTTTATGTGTCCATGTATCCAAACACTTGGGCCCATCTCGTGCCACATCATACCGGAAATCAATACTACGATTTGACTGGGCGCCACATCAGCTTTTCCGGCAAAAATAAGCACCGGATTGTCGATTTTGACTAAAATTACTCAAAAAAAAATGTTGGTGTACCAAAAGTAAACCGGAAACAAATTAAAGGACGAAAGTGCAACGAGGATATAGTTAGTGGACGAATAGTGCAATTTTTCCTTTTTTTTAGATAGTAGCTCTTTAGTAACAACCAGCCTAACAGGAGATTATTTGAAAAATAATGAAGTATTAAACTTTTGTGAAATAATTATTTGATTCATTTTGATGTATTTAAAACATATCATGATATATATATATATAATAACTAACAATTAACTCACAATTAATAGATTCTTATTAGAATTTTATTTGTTAACTCTCTCCCTTTCACTCCTTTTTAATTATTAAAAAATAAATAAATGGACTTGTACAGTATAATAATGATATATTTATTAATAAATTTTAAATGTACATAGTACAACCACCAACATATTATTTGTCCGTTCCATGTCTAAAATTATGTAAGCCCAAGTTGCAACATCAATTAAAGTTTAGTGAATGATTATATCGAAGGGTACATGCACATTAATGACCTTATCCATGGTGGAACTTGTTTTCATCACAACCTTTACAACATCCAACAATTCGCATTAAATAAGTGTGGTTTTATACGTAGTATAAGCAGTCGGACACGCTGACATTTTTTGAATCTCCAACGAAAATTAAGTTTGTTTTGCAAAAGTAAATCAAAGTCAGAATTATATTGTAATTATCCAAAAATTTAGATTAAATTGTCAAACCCAAAAAAATAAATATTTAAATAACAATTAACCCAAATAAAAATGTTTAATGATACGATCCCATGTCATATTTTTTATATATATATTTTTTAATTAAAATATGAGATTTAATTTGCAAATATGCATGTTAAAAATATTATTATGTATGATGGGAGCAACTAAAAAAGATGTAAAAGGAAAAACGTCTCCTAATTACTGGCAAAAATTCAAAATTGGTCCTATAACTTGGCCACTGTCCAAAAAACCACCCCTATATTGACCACTTTCAATTTAGATCCTATAATTTGTTGATTTCATCAATTTTGGTCATTTTTTATCCTTACCCTGGATTAAAAAGTGACGTGGCATGAAAAAAGGACCAAAATTGATAAAATCGACAAATTATAGGACCAAAATTGACGTGCCACGTAGATCATAATCACGCCATGTGGCCTTAAAAAACTGACACGTCATGCCACGTCACTTTTTAATCCAAGGTCCGGATAAAAAGGACCAAAATTGATGAAATCGACAAATTATAGGACCTAAATTGAAAGTGGTCAATATATGGGTGGTTTTTTGGACAATGGTCAAGTTATAGGACCAATTTTGAAATTTTGCCCCTAATTACTATTGCTCCGGGCAAGGCTACGCCTATAGTCTCGTTACGGAACGATTATGTTGGAATTTATAACCGTTAATGAACATTTATATTAGTGTAGCATGTGTATCTAACGGTTACAAATCTCAACGGAATGGTTCCGTAACGGGATTATAGTATTTTCCATTGCCTATATGCAACATGTTGTATTATTATCTATTAGTTTCTTACTTATTACATTTATTATAGCATTAAAAATGATTTATTATTCTTTTCCTATTAAATTAATTAGATTTGAAATTGATATAATATTATTCTTACTTAGGGTCCGTTTGGTTAGTATTATTGATTGAGCTTGATTAATTCCCACTAGAAAATTTATGTGTTATCCTTTTGATAAAAGAGGGTTATTAACTTGTTTGGTTCGTAATTCATTATTATAACCTTTAAGCGAAAATTACATTTTTGTCCTTCTATTTAAAATTCAATTTGCAAATGTCTGTTTTTCAACCCCATGACGCGAAGCTTGAGTGTGCAAAAATCCAAATCGCAAAAATTCAGATTTCTTCCGAAATTTTAAATTTATGAAAACTCAATTTCAAACTTAAAAAGCTTTCACAAAGATCAATCTATTTGTTCCCAGTAAATTAAAAAATGCACAAAAAAAATCTAAACCCCAATTTTTACAACAAAAAATCCTTGGAAAAAATCAGATTTTTCTTTAATTCATACAAAACTCTACAACAAAAATTCTGAGTTTTTTTCCTTCGTCGGAAACCCAAAGCTGAGAAAATCATTTTCGGAAAACAATAATGTTGTAGGATTCGGTAGGGATTGCACCGTGACGTTGGCGGACTGTAGAAGGAGGCGACTTGAGGGGTTTGAGGTTGGAGGGGAGTGGGCCCCGCGGGTCGACCGACTTGAGGCGGGGTCTCTGGGCGGCACCGGTGGGACTGCAGGTGACGTCGTCGTCTGGGGGGTTCACTGTCTTTGGAGAAGAGCTTGGGCTTGGCCGTCAATGGAATTGGAGAAGAAAATAGATCTGGAGAAATTTGTGGAAGAGAAGAGCTATGGGTATTTGTGGAAATTTAAAAGCAAAATAATGATTGATTGCACATCCCACCTAAGATGTGGGATATATAATACTGAAGTTTCTTAATAACTGACAGGGCCGTAGCTCATTTCAAGGGCCTTATTATTGCAACCAAACACTTTAATAAGATGGAAATATTGTCGAATTGTGTGATATCATGCACAATCCTTCTAACCAAACTGACCCTTATAGTGTATTTATTATTATTATTATTATTATTATTATTATTATTATTATTATTATTATTATTCACTTTCCTAAAGCTATTTTT